CATCAGTCTAAATTCAGACAAGAATCCATTTTGGAGAGCTGAGCAGGATGGGCTATTATTATTCAAGATAAAGATAAGCGTAGATCAAGTGTTAGTTGTGGAGCTGTGTCCAACTCTTTGCAACTGCATGGACTGTAGCCCGTTATGCTCCTCCATCCATGGGGTTAACAAGGCAAGAATACTGAAGTGAGTTGCCATTCCCATCTCCAGGAGATCTCAAGAGTTTTACTAAATGCCATGAAGATATAAAAATTAAATTAACATAAAAACAAATATAGTAAATATACAAATAGGGAAAAAATAAGATTTCCTAAGTACAAGTATTTAATTCTGAGAATGTCAGTAAACAAATCAACTATTAAAATTATATCAGCAATGAACCTCTTTCCCTTCCAGCACCATGCCTATCTCTCAGCTTTCATGAGCCACATTGTGAATAAAACTTAAGAGCCTCACCCCAACTTTCACCACCAAAAACGTGCCAAACCCTTGGGTGCTCTCCAGTCCTTTCTAGAGCTAGAGATCAGCTAGATTATTGACTTGGATGCAAAACATCACTACTTTGCAAATCTTTGCTGGATTGTGTATTTGTCCTAGTTTTAAAGTCCATTCTATCACTCAGATACATTAATTTTGCTAAAGCCCATTAGCTTTTTCCAAAATTCTATAACAGCACTTAAAATATATAGCACTTGAAATACAAATTTATACAGAAAACAGCACATGTATAGAAGTGAGTGGAGATGTCAGAAATAAGATGATTAAGATCATGGTACTTAAAGGGTTCCAAGGTATGATGAAACAAATCACTGTTATGAATCTCCTCTAACATCCAGAGAGAGAGAGGGAGAGATCTGTGTCTGTGATACTCCATGGCTCACACTTTGTTGCATCTCTCATAGAACCAGCACCTGGCACGTATCTTCAACAATGGAATGTTCTACAAAAGTCTCATAAGTGATTGGTTGCTGGTCCTTCTACAGAGGAAAAAAAGATCATTTTCTGGTGAGCTTTGTATTCAAGATCTAAATCAGACAAGCTAGATTATTTTTCTTCAAAAAATGGTTATTATTTGCTCTGTTGTAAATAAATACAGAATGTTATGTCATCAAGGAAACACTTTTGGATCCAGGGGTACATAGTAAAAAACAATACATTGAAAAAAACACCCTAAGAAGATATTCACCCCTCCAAGTATGAAAAATGACTATTTTAACAAAAGCTTATGAAATGCAATTGCTGTATGGATGAGACATTTCCATGTCAAGTTCCAGCCAGTCGCCAACATTTCTAATGCAATGTTAACAATTCAGAATATATTGGAATAATTTAATAAATTAATACTGTAGCTTTGAAAAGCTCACCCCATAATCATTCTCCTTTGGAAACACTTCATTCCATCTTATTTTTATAAGCAGTTTATATGGAAATATGATACGTTGTTCCTGTTAAGAAAACTACTTTAGCAGGCAATACATGGATTTATTAAATAATTAGCATGCAGATAGAGGAAAGCTATGTGCCTTACCGAAGAAGATCTAAAATGGTTATTGGGAGCAAAGTGATATTCATATTTTTTAAACTATATCAGAAATTGCAGATGCCAGACACATTCACATTAATAGTACAATTCAGTCATGGATTAGATATGGTGCTAGCATTTTAGTGTGGGAATAATTTCAATAATATAAATGTGAGCAAACCTATGAGGATTTAGAAAGGCCAGATAAGGCGTAAAATATATCCTGGCTGTGGCAGGGTAACAGAGTCATTCTAGGAAAAGGATATATAATGTAGATTATTTGTGACCTAAGAGAAGACATAGTGACACACAGAAGACTCTTACTAATAAAAATGGAGATGATGATACACACATTTATTAAATGCCCAGAGGGTAGCAAGTATGATATTGGAAATATAAAAAGGCAAAGTGGTTCTCTCTCAGCACTACAAGAGAAATATCAGGATGTCCCCAAAGATAGATAAAGCATAAGCCAGTGGGTTTTGTTTTAATAAAAGGTATGGTTGGCAAAGACAATGGAATTTCATGGCCATGTAAGTTAGTGACCAAATTCGCTCCTCTGCTATAACCACAGCCAAACTTAATTTTTCTGTCAAAGAAAAGCAAACAAAAAGGAAATCCTGTAGATTTGGGATGACAACCAAGTTATTCTTTGCTTATATTCTCCTTCAGAATAGCTATAATGGAGGAAACATGAAAATATCAATATGACAGTAAGTTGAAGTTTTAGAGATGGAGATAATTACATTAAAGTGTTTTATAGGTAGTAAAGTACTATATGAAAGATAGTTATGATTATACTTCAACCTTGCAACTTCCCATACACTTTCAGATTCCTGCTCTGATTTGAGCCACTTGTTTTTGCATATCCACTATTTCCCTTCATAGTCAAAATGTGAATCATTCCCCGGGTAAACAGAGATTACAAAAAAATTAAGTGACTTGCCTCTGGTTAAGTGAATCTGGGAGTCAAACTCAGATGCACTGATTCCTCATCCAGAAACACAGCTATCAGAGTTCTGCGTAGTTCTTAATCATTCTCTCTCTTCTCACTTGAGGGTGTCACCATTTGCTCAAGATAGAAGCCACCTCATGTGAATATTCTCCCAGAATGTAAACACTAGCTTGAGACACCTTTTTTCTTATCTTCCTCTCACAAGTCATTCTGCCCCCTTGAATTAATTTTTTGCCCTTATTCCAAATAGTCCAACTTCCTTTTCTCACAAGAACAATCACTCAATAACTTTGGTTCAGATTCTGGCTTGAAAATCCAGCATCACTTCAGCCAATACAACAAACAGAAACTAGCTAACTTATTGAGATGATGTGCAGCTCATGTTTCTTCCCTGAGGACTCAGAGTTGCTCAAGGTAGAAACCAATGCAAATAAAAATGCCTCTAAGAAAAGGAGCTGTTTGGGGAGGGAGGTTCAAACGGGAGGGGATATATGTATACCTATGGTTGATTCATGTTGAGGTTTGACAGAAAATAATAAAATCCTGTAAAGCAATTATCCTTCAGTAAAAAGTAAATTAACTTAAAAAAAAAGACTTGATGTCTGCCCAAGATTGAGGAAGAAGGTGGTCTTCTCCCGTCCTCACTTTTTCTTTGATTATGAAAATGTAGCCCTATCTGTTCTTGGGGCTGTGCTCCCTTGCCTGCCCATTTGAATCTCTCACAAGCTTCCTATGCTAATAAACTTACTCTTCACCTAAAAAAAAAAAAAGAAAGAAAAGAAAAGGAGCTGTTTGACTTTATCGAGCATATGCCATATTACATAAAACTGTGACTTTAATGATAACAACTGTTAATCAGATCATTCCTTCAAGTAATTTAAATGCATCTAATTCTTCAACTTATATTTTGCTATTGCCTGATTTGCCAGTTTCTACATTTCACATTCAATTTAGTACAAAATATTTGCTATATGCAGATAGGAAAAGAGGTAAATTATCATTTCAAGGCTTTTGGATATGCCATTAAAGTTTGGAAATATGCTAATTAACATAAAAGACAATTCCCCGAGTAGCTGAAAGTATGAGGTATAAATATATCTCTTAGCACTGCTGAGAATAAGACCCAGTAAAGCTTCAAGATTTCCCACAGGTTGGTCGTGGCATTCAGAAACATCCTGGGGATGAACAAGTGACAAGTAGGCCAAAAGGGGAGTTTTCTCCTCTCCACTGAGAGACAGGAAGCTGAACTTCTCGAAAGTTTGCTTATGTTAACAAGTTAAATGTCTATAATAACAAATCTAAATCATTGACCCACCCCCCATTCCTTCTTCTTGTTATTGTTATAAAACAACTCCATAAAAGACAGCATAGAGAAATGAGATGCAAACATAAGTATAGCTTTATCAGATCTTCTAGGGGAATGTAAAAAAGGAACAGAAGATAAAAGAGATAGAAAATAACCCTATATGCAAAACAGAAAAAGAGACTCAGATGTATAGAACAGACTTGTGGACTCTGTGGGAGAAGGCGAGGGTGGGATGTTTCAAGAGAACAGCATCGAAACACGTATATTATCTAGGGTGAAACAGATCACCAGCCCAGGTTGGGTGCATGAGACAAGTGCTCGGGCCTGGTGCACTGGGAAGACCCAGAGGGATCGGGTGGAGAGGGAGGTGGGAGGGGGGACCGGGATGGGGAATACATGTAAATCCATGGCTAATTCATTTCAATGTATGACAAAAACCACTGCAATGTTGTAAAGTAATTAGCCTCCAACTAATAAAAATAAATGGAAATAAATAAATAAATAAAATGTTTATTGTAAAGCAAAAAAAAAAAAGAAAATATGTCTGAACAATATCTTGTGGTATGAACTATGAAACTATAACAAACACTTCAAAATGCTTGTGTCATAGCTTGACAGATCGTTCAGTTGTTTCCTTGTGCTGCTCAAGGTAAAGATCCTGGCTTCTGTCTCCACGTGGGCTAAATAGCTTTAACTTCCCTCCCAGCTCTCTAACTGTGCCTCTATCCCCAGGTAACCCTCTGACAAAGGTGTGCCTGTGGCCAAAGAGGCTGAGTGATACTGTGAAGCCAACACTTGCCATGAGAAAAGCAATCAGAAGCGAGTTACCCGCTATTTAACCAAATTACTATGGTGGAGCAGAGCCTACAGAAAACTGTTCTTCCCTAAGATCTCTTAGAAAGACTCTGGAGGAGATAACATAAGTTTGAAGCAATAAGGGTGGAACCTCAAAAAGACTCTTGGCGCAATTGGATTTCAGAGAAGAAAAAGATCAGGACATGCCAGACTCATCAAGAAAGTCCACATGGAAAATAAAGGTATTGAGTTGTATCTTAAAGGCTGGGTAGGACTTGACTGGATAGAGAAGAACAGTATCCATGGCTTGAAAATGTATTCTGTGCCAGGCACTGACTTAGGCCCATGATTTATTGATATATCATCTCACTGACTTCTTCCATAGAGGAGGTTTTATTTCCCCCATGCACAAAACAGAAAACATGCTCAGGAACACTGACTTTCCCAAGGTCAGACTGCTAGAAAGTGTCTTCAGGAGAATGGCATAACTCCCAAGGTTTTGCATAGTTGGCCCCTGTTTGCCTCTCCAACCTCATCTCATACCACTCACCTGCTCATTCAACACACTCCAACCATAAATGGACCAGTCTCTTTCATCTCAGAATGTTCACATTTTGTGTTCTCTCTGTTTGCCCAAATCTGCCTTTTTTCCCTGCAAAACTTTTATGAATAGAGCAGATTTTTAAAAGTTACTTATTTAAAAAGGCATTCTCTGAATGCTGATCTCAGTTAGGTTCCTGATTAGACTCCCTTACAGACATACTACTCATAGCACTTATCATAGTTTCTATCTAAGTAATTACACACATGTTGTATTAGGTAACAGTTCTCCAGGTCAGCAAACTGAAATTTCAGGTAACAGTTGGTAATGGGGTCTTGAATCTAAATTCTGCAGTCTGGAAACAAGACAAGATATCTATGCTGCAGTCTTGAGGATAATTCCTTCTCCTTAGGGACACACCAGTCTTTGCTCTTGTAAGGCCTTCAACTGATTGGATGAGCTCTCCCCCCAACATACACACACAGTATGGAGGGCATTTTGCTTTGCTCAAAGTGTACTGAGTGAAATGGTAATCACATCTTTAAAAAATAGTTTCAGAGCAACATCTTGACTGGTGTTTGACCAAACAATGATGCACCACAGCCTAGCTAAGCTGACAGAATTAACCATCATACATGTCTATTTAAGGACTATTTTCCCTACTTGACTATAAACTCTAGGAGGGTAGAGACTTGGTTGATTTTTTCACAGCTGTATCCACAGTGTGTAGAATGAGTGAAGTGAGTGAGTGAAGTCGCTCAGTCATGTCTGACTCTTTGCGACCCCATGGACTGTAACCTACCAGGCTCCTCCGTCCATGGAATTTTCCAGGCAAGAGTAATGGAGTGGGTTGCCATTTCCTTCTCCAATAGCAGCTGGCATAAAATATTTGCTCAAAAATTATTTACTTCTGAAAGGAATATCTGCCAGGTCTTGATGGTAGGTTGACCTAGCACTGGCAGAAAATATAAAATAGGAAACAGTAATTGACTACAGGACAGTAAGCATTTCTAGCCAGTAAGGTTTAATTCAGTTTAACCAATAATTATGAACTGGTTTCTATCAACTCGAAACTATCCTGGGTATACGTGCTGCTTGCTAAGTTGCTTCAGCCATGTCCAAATCTTTGTAAACATATGGACTGCAGCCCACCAGGTTCTTCTGTCCACGGGATTCTCCAGCCAAGAATACTGAAGTGGGTTGCCATGCCCTCCTCCAGGGGATCTTCCCGACCCAGGGATCGAACCCACATCTTTTACATCTACCTGCACTGGTGAGTCAGTTCCCAAGCACCACCTGGGAAGCCCATCCTAGGTATACAGGGGATACCAAAATGAATATAATAGAAGTCATACAAAGGTCATGGTACAAAGGTGCTTGTTGCAGAAGTATTTACAGCATCAAAATTTGAAAACAATCTGTATCTCCAACAGTAGGTAACTGAATGGACAGTTATTGCTGTTGGACTGAGCTCTGATAGCTAGGCTTGAAGAGTTTATGTCCGGTACACATTTTCCACTATTGTTGTTCAGTTGCTCAGTCGTGTCCGACTCTTTGTGACCCCATGGACTGCAGCATGCCAGGCCTCTCTGTCCTTCACCATCTCCTAGAGTTTGCTCAAACTCATGTCCATTGAGTTGGTGATGCTGTCCAACCATCTCATTCATCTCATCCCCTTCTCCTGCCTTCAATCTTTCCCAGCATCAGGGTATTTTCCAATGAGTCGGCTCTTCGTATCAGGTGGCCAAAGTATATGGACTAATAATAACTCATTCACTTATATTCAAAACTGATATATAAAAAATAAGTGTCATGAAGCAGCACCAGATGGCAGTTCTAGGAGACCATTATATCACTGTTCTTGGCTAGCCTGGCTTCACTTACAGAGACAAGATGCTCCAACAAGGTGGCCCCATCTTCAGATATTGAGTATCTACTATATGCCTGTCACTGTTCTAGGTCTTAGAGATGCAGTGATGAACAAAACAGGCAAATAACCACGCGCTCATGGAGCTTGCAGTCTACAAATAGTAGACAAATAAATGACATTAATAAGAAAAAATAAAGCAGATAATGAAAAGACAAAGTTTCTGGAATAGGCATTAACATATTAGATAGGAACTCTGAGGAAGGCTTCACAGAAGGTGACAGTTAAGTAAAAACTTTAAAGAAGTGAGAGAGGAGCTCTTTGTACATCTGGAAGAAGAGAATTCCATGCAGAGGGAACAGCATGTGCAAAGACCTGAGATGGGAGTTGTCCTGGCATGTCTGAGTTTGGATCAGAGTGAGAAACAGGGAGAGCAGCAAGGGATGAGATCAGAGATGCAATGGTAGGGGTAAGGGAGAGACTAGAGGGAGACGCAGTATCATGTGTGAATGTGAGAAAAGACATAAATTTGGAGCATGTTTTTTCAAGTATAAGATGTGTAGAGAATATTCGATCCAACTGTAATTTCTATACCTACTAAACATAAAGGAAGACCTTCTCCCTGCAAGCAGTGTATGTAGAGCCCATTCAAACCCGCAAATCTCAGTAATTAGCTGTATAATATTTTAAATCAGACTATACAAACTTGGACAATTCTTGAGGTGAGACATCATTTTAATATCCACACCTACACATATCCCATCAAAGACTGGCATGCCAATCAATGTGATACACCATATTAACAAATTGAAAGATAAAAAACATACAATAGTCTCAGTGGATGCAGAAAAAGCTTTTGACAAAATTCAGCACTCATCTATGGTTTAAAAAAACTCTTCAAAAAATGGACATAGAAGGAACCTACCGCAACATAATAAAGGCCATATACAACAAACCCACAGCAAAGATTATCCTCAATGGTGGAAAACTGAAAGCATCCCTCTAGGATCAGGAACAAGACAAGGGTGCTCACTCTCACCACTATTATTCAACATAGTTTTAGAAGTCCTAACTACAGTGATCAGGGGAGAAAAAGAAATAAGAGGAATCCAGATTGGAAAAAAGGAAATAAAACTCTGACTGTTTGCAGATGAGATGATGCTATACACAGAAAACCCTAAAAGATACTATCACAAAATTACCAGAGCTAATCAGTGAATTTACTAAAGTCAGAAGATACAAAGTCAATATACAGAAATCACTTGCATACATATACCCTAACAACAAAAAATCAGAAAGAGAGATTAAGGAATCAACCCCATTTACCATTGCAACAAAAAGAATGAAATACCTAGGAATAAACCTGCCTAAGGAGACAAAAGAGCTGTATAAAGAAAACTGTAAGATACTGATGAAAGAAATCAAAGACGGCATAAACAGATGGAGAGACATTACATGCTCCTGGGTTGGAAGAATCAATACTGTGAAAATTATGGTACTACCAAATGCAATCTACAGATTCAGTGCAATCCCTATCAAATTACCAATGGCATTTTTCACAGAACTAGAACAAAAAATTTCACAATTTGCATGAAAGCACAGAAGACCCTAAATGGCCAGGGCAGTCCTGAGAAAGAAGAATGGAGCTGGAGCAATCAACCTTCCTGACTTCAGACTGTACTAGAGGGCTGCAGTCATCAGGACAGTACGGTACTGGCAAAAAAAACAGAAATATAGACTGATAGAACAAGATAGAAGCCCCAGAGATAAACCCATGCACCTATGGGTGCCTTATCTTTGATGGAGGAGGCAGGAGTCTGCAATGGGGAAGGGATAGTCTCTTCAATGGGTAGTGCTGATAGAACTGGATAGCTACGTGTAAAAGAATGAAATTAGAACACTTTCTAACATCATACACAAAGATAAACTCAAAATGGATTGAAGACCTAAATGTAAGACCAGAAACTATAAAACTATTAGAGGAAAACATAGACAGAATACTGTATGACATAAATCACAGCAAGATCCTCTATGACCCACCTCCGAGAGTAATGGAAATAAAAAACAAAAATAAACAAATGGGAACTAATTAATCTTAAAAGCTTTTGCACAGCAAAAGAAACTGTAAACAAGGTGAACATGGACTTCTAGATTGCTTCCATTGCAACCCAGAATAAGAGAAAATAATTGTAAAGGAAACAACTGACAAAGGATAAATTTCTAAAACATATAAGCAGCTCATACAACTCAATACCAGAGAAACAAACAACCCAATCAAAAAGTAGGCAAAAGACCTAAACAGACATTTCTCCAAAGAAGACAAACAGATGACTAACAAGCACATGAAAATATGCTCAACATTGCTCATTATTAGAAAAATGCAAATAAAAGTTACAATGAGATATCACCTCATACCAGTCAGAATGGCCATCATCAAAAAAATCTACAAACAATAAATCCTGGAGAGGGTGTGGAGGAAAGGGAACCCTCTTGCACTGTTAGTGGGAATGTAAATTGATAACAGCCACTATGGAAGACAGTATGAAGATTCCTTAAAAGAAAAAAAAAAAACCTAGGAATAAAACCACCATATGACTCAGTAATCCCACTACTAGGCATACACCCTGAAGGAAACCACAGCTGAAAAAGACACATGCACCACAATGTTCACTGCAGCTCTGTTTACAGTAGCTAGAACATGGAAGCAATCTAGATGTTCATTAACAGGTAAATGGATAAAGAAGCTGTGGTACATATATACAATGGAATATTACTCAGTCTTAAAAAAGAATGCATTTGAGTCAGTTCTAATGAGGTGAATGAACCTAAAGTCTATTACACAGAGTGAAGTAAGTCAGAAAGAGAAAAAAAACACTGTATATTAACACATATTTATGGAATCTAGAAAGATGGTGCTGATGAACCTATTTGCAGTGTAGCAATGGAGATGCAGACATAGAGAACAGACTTATGGACATTGGGGTAGGGGGAGGAGGGAGAGGGTGGGACAAATGGAGAGAGTAACATGGAAGCATATACAC